AACCATGAAGCCAGTAAATTTTCATTCATTTCGTAAATAAGACAGTCTAACACGCAATTAAGTTGTTGGATGTAGTATTGATAGATATTTCTAGAACATAGCGTATCAGGATTGTCATCATAGCGTTTTGGAGTTACTCTTTGTCTATGACGATCTTCGTATATTTTTAACGCATCGATTTCATACTTGCTACATATTTTAATTGCTGCATCAATTTCACGATGTACTTAAAATTCTTCTTTTCTATTTCGTTCAAGAGATTGTATTGTAGACAATACAATCATTTTAGCATCTAAAATGTTCAACTCAACTTTCTGCAACTCATCAGTAAGAATCTTTGTTTTTGCAATGACTCCTTTGATAAGCATAAGCATAATGTAAAGTCTGGATTCACGATTTTTTTAAGTATTGCTAAAGCTTGATCCTTTGTTTTCTTATCAAATAAATCGGACTGACTTATTTCATAAAAACATTCAACAATAGATTCCATACTTATCCAAAATGCTTGAATGAATTCTGAACGCGCTGACCATCTAGTTTTTGAAAGATTGCAAAGTTTCAAGGAATTTTCAATAAACTCAAGTTTAGAATTAAGTAAGCTGAATCGTTTAGTACTTGAAGAAATAAATACGTAGCACATTTCAAGAACTTTAATGACATTTGAAGCCATTTTATTTCTTTTAACCGCATGTTCAACAAAAGTATTAGTTCGATGAGCTTGACATGGAATATAAGGTACAACTCGTTTTAACTTTTCTGAAATTTTTGCATGAACTCCTTTAATGTTGCTGGACATAGAGCTGGCGTAATCGTATCCTTGAAACACAACACTATTGACATCAAGTTGAAGGTTATTGATTGTCGATATTATTAAATCTGCAATTCCATCACCCGTTTTGTCAGCTACCTCGCATATCTGCACAATTCTTTCTTTAATATTACAGTTATTATCCACATACCTTACAGCAATTGCTAACTTATCACTGTGTGACACATCAGGAGTTATATCTGCCATAATTGAAAACATCGATGCTTGGTTAACTTCGGAAACAATTTTGCTTTGAACATCTTGTCCAAGCAAATGAATGAAGTCGTTTTGGGATTTAGCACTCATATATGTCACATGATATTTTCTAAGTTTTATGTTGAACAACCATCGTTTAAGTACCAAATTATGTCTCGACATAAAATATACCAACTGTCTAAAATTTCCATTTTCATCCCGATTATCTCCACGAAACGCGATTCCTTGCCTACCCAATGTTCGAGCCAAATCAATAAGAACTTTTATAACACACTTATTAGAATCCATTTCTTCTTTTTCACTAATAACAATTTGTCTTTGTTTCTTGTCCAAGAGGAGATTAATATGTTGAGCACTATTACAATAATTGCAATAGTCTAATAATGAAGCTTTATGAGATTTTGATGAAAAATGTTCTGATAGTTTTCCTCTTTTACCTTTCTTTCCTCGACTCTTCATTTTATGCCACGTGCGGATACCGTTTTCAACCCAAGCAACTTTACTATTCTCTCTACCTGGTCCATTTGGAATGAGACAGCATACATAGCAGAATGCGCTATCTTTAAGTATGCTGTACTCTAAGTGAGGGTATTCTTTGTACCACAATGATGAAAAACGATTTTGCTTCCTTTTGTCAATATCTTTATTGATAGGAAAGTTATTAAGTTTTACTTGATGTGGTCCGAGCTCAATTAGATAGTTTCTTAGATTATCATTTTCAATTTTCGAACGTTGGCCAGGATCATGCGAAAGAAAGAAATTTTTTGTAGTAAGTGTTTCAATATTATCATATTTTCTTTTGTTTAAAATGTTTGCAAGAGCTTGGTCATTGGCATCCAAAACATTCTCTGCTGAAATTTTTACATCAGAAGCAAGCTCTGTCATTTCAATGAGAAGTTTTTCCAAATGTAAATTGTCTGTATTTTTTACTTCATCTAGTTTTAATTCGCACTCACTTAAAAGTTTACACAGCTTTGCAAATTTACCCACCGAATCTGAAAACGTAGTTTTTTTTTCCAATAAATTAACATCACTCGGTTGGGATTCTACTAACAGAGTTTGATCACAGAAATTCAAAATTTCATGCACTGCTAGTATTTCATCATTATTAGTATCAATGTTTTCACTCTGATTTATTATCTCACATTCGATTTCAGATGATTCATTTTCAATTGCTTCAGAGATTTTTGTCAGATTTTCATTGGTACTCATTTCCACTTCATTTGTAATGTTATTTGGCAAAGTTCTTGGACATTGAAATTAATTTTAGACAAACTTAATTTGCTGCACGATTGGGAATTTATTGCCGAATTGGTTTCAAAAGGGTTTCGTGGTGCGCCATACTTCTCATAAGGTATCCCTTTATGGTTTCGGATATAATCCAAATGATAAATTCGATTGTGTGTCATCCGATAGTCATTATCAAAAATTGAATGTGAACAGTTCTTGACTTTGCATTTGACTTTGTATCTTTTAACACCAGGATGTGGCATCTTGAACTCAAAATCTAAGATAATTACAAATTAAACTAACAAAATATTTGCCTTAAAAAAATATATAAATGATTTAATAAATTTTAAACTTTTTAAAATTTTATTAGTAAATACGTAACTTAAAAGTATAAACAAAATAGTTTATTACAACTTTCACCAAACTTCCAATACTAGTACCAAATTTCTAATAATAAAAACACACCGCTAACTAAACTTTGATTTCTTCTGTGCAAACATCAAGTAAACAAGTCTCTTGATTAAGAATTCTTGCTTTAAAGTAATTAGAAATTGTTGACTAATTACGTAACGCAATTTTTGAGAATAAAAAACGGCAACCAAAAACATGCTTAGCTGAGTTTTATTTGTTATACGCGTTAAATTCCTAAAAAGAATTAGTTTTTTATCCTTTGAAAATTAACGTTAAGGATGATATAAATTAGTTTTTTATTCTTTGAAAATTAACGTTAAGGATGATATACCGACAAAATATTAAAAATCTGGAGGGGTGGGTACCCCTTCCCTCACACCCCCTATCGGTACGGCCCTGTAAATACAGATAAAAATATAAGGCTATTTTTGTTTTTGGAAACAAAAAGATTATTGTATGAAATTTACAATTTGTTGATGAATATAAAAAGTTTTGTTGAGAAAATGTAAAAAGTATTTTATCAACATATATATATATATATATATATATATATATATATATATATATATATATATATATATATATATATATATATACATATATATGTATGTATATATATATATATATATATATATATATATATATATATATATATATATATATATATATATATATATATATATATATATATATATATATATATATATATATATATATATATATATATATATTATATATATATATATATATATATATATGTATATATATATATATATATATATATATATATATATATATATATATATATATATATATATATATATATATATATATATATATATATATATATATGTATATATATATATATATATATATGTATGTATATATATATATATATGTATGTATATATATATATATATATATATATATATATATATATATATATATATAAAACCCCTAAACATTTGACAGGTCCCTAATATTATTGAAAAAAAAATTATTTAAAAATATGTCAACTTGGTACTCAAAAGAAGTAAAATCATTTAAAAATTTCAAAAACAAAATGTATTTTTTATAAAAAAAACAATATTAGGTTTTTTTGAATAAAAACTATGGTTTTTAAACGAAAAATGAAAAAAAGGTAATTTTCACAACATTTTTAATAATAAGTTTTTTTAAGTTGTTTTTTATAAAAAATGAATCTAATTTTTAAAATTTTTATAAAATTTTGCTTCTTTTGAGTACCAAGTTGACATATTTAAAAAAAATTTTTTTTTTAATAATATTAGGGACCTGTCAAATGTTTAGTGGCTTTGAGGGACCTTTAGGGCAAATAATAAAATTTAGTAAAAAATATTTTTGAACCACAATATGATAGTTGAATGGGAAAAACTTCAATTAGCTATGTTCTGAAAACAAATTAGCATACTGAACAGCCCTAATATATATATATATATATATATATATATATATATATATATATATATATATATATATATATATATATATATATATATAAATTCAATGACTGAAACACGTCCTAAATAAAAAGTTAAACTCTAGTTAAGCTTGCCAGTCTGGAAAAATACTAAACAAAAATGTATATAAAATAACAAATCCTGAGTAATAATGGAAGGAGTACTTCCCAATGGAAGTGATGTCTTAAAACATAAACATTCAAATGAATCCCAATCAAAATTTTTTAATAAACCCCCATATAATCTGTGCATTTTTAAATGATTGTGTAAAGATAAAATTTAAATTATAAAAGTATATATGTATATATATATATATATATATATATATATATATATATATATACATATATATATATATATATATATATATATATATATATATATATATATATATATATATATATATATATATATATATATATATACATGTATATATATATATATATATATATATATATATATATATATAACATATATATAACATGAATATATATATATATATATATATATATATATATATATATATATATATATAACATATATATAACATGAATATATATATATATATATATATATATAACATGAAGTTTTCAAATTATATTCTTTTCTTTATATTACAAGAATATTTATATAAACTATAATATATATGTATATATATATATATATATATATATATATATATATATATATATATATATATATATATATATGTTTATATATATATATATATATATATATATATATATATATATATATATATATATATATATATATATATAAGTTAAATTTGTTTTACTTTTTTTCATAAAAGCATATATTTCAATTAAAATTAAAAAATTAAATACTTTTTAAAGTTTTAAAGGAATTTATTTCAAAAAGTATATATATATATATAAAAAATAAAATTCAATTGGAATCTGAATAGTTTGAGATATACTTTGAGTTTTAAAGCTTGAGATTTCACAAATGAAGATACACATAATACTTTTGTTAACAACTGTCAGCTTACATGGATCGGTTATTGAAGTGAATAAAGGTATTTAAAAATAATTTATTTAAAGTAATTTTAATAATTCTTCTAACTATCTTTTTAAATTAAGAACACGAAAATGATTAGACACCTGTACTTATCGATTAAGCACCTGTACTTACACTACCTAAAAAATTTCAATTTTTCAATCAAATGTCACATATACGGAGTGGAGGTAAATAGCCGTAAATAGCCAAAATAGAAGTTACGTTTTTTACGCATAAAACCACTAAAAGCATAAAAATGTAAAAGTAGGACCACTAACAGTTGTTGTTTCATTTTTATCTGAACTGTTCAGATGAGTCTTTGCTAATTTATCACTTTTTTTTTGTTTTATGTCACAACTAACTTCAATTTAATTTCATTTTTTTGTTTATGTTCTTTAATAATCGTTGAAAAAAATGACGTGTAGTAGAAAACGAATGAATTATTTAGATTTGGTCGATTATCCGTTTAGAATGAAATCCAGATTAACGTTTAGAACAAACATCCATAAAACGTCAATATTCAAACGTACTTCAGACATCTATTATAGGATTATTGTACGTATATAAAGCGTTTAAATCTAGTCTAGTTAACAATAAAGCGTTTCGATTTATTCTAAGTAAACCTATATTAATTTTTTAGATCTTGTCTAGATCTTTTAGATCTTCTTCTTTGATTTAGTTAACGTATTTTTAATTTTTTAAGTTTAAAAGTTTATATGAATTAAAATTACGTTATAACTTTTTAACTTTAAATAAGTAATAAAAGGTCTTGAAATTTATACATAAGATATAGTTATAAAACCTGGCCTTATTTTTTATATTTTTTATAACTATTATAACATTTTTATAAACTTTTATACTATACTACTTATACTATACTTTTATATTATAAAACTATATATAAAGTTATAAACTTATATTTGTTTATGTATGCACTATACTTGTTTATGTTTCGACACTTAAAAAAAATTAAATGATCAAGCTTTTTACAGTGGATAATGTATAGTAACAACTTCTATCAAATATTTTAAATTTAATCTCATTAGCAGAAAATAAATGTTTACTTTAAGATTAAGTCAAAGATAACTAATAAAATTAATAAACTCATGAACAAATATTTTGGATCACTGTTTTCTCTGTTTGTGCATTATCAAAAATCTTTACTGTGCCGAATACCGTCTACCGCTTGTTCATCATACACCTGTTTGTGCAACATCATCTCCTACATTTGTATCCTGACCGTCTGATTTTGTAACCTGATTTGTAATTGCAAAAAACTAGAGTAAAATAGATTTTTGAGGTTTGAAATGTACATTCATAAGTCAAAATTGGAAAAACACAGAACAACTTTGCAAATGGAGGGTTTTCTGATTGGAAACTTCCGAAAGTTCCTGTACTATCCATGTTTATTTTTGACCTTAAAAAATTAGTAACATCACGAAATAAAATATACAATGATTTTTGCCAGCTCTATTCCACCAATATTTTTTAGCAAATGTAACTAAATTAAGTTAAAATGCATTTAAAATAAAAAAATATTTATTTAGTTATTAAACCTCTTGATTATAGCAAAGACGAATACCTACTGTTACACATACTAGCGTTTACAAAATAAATTTAAACTGTTTATAAAACTTATGAAAAAAGTTCTTGTTGCAGGACTTTATAACGAGAGACCAGCACTCATACTTTTTGACTGTGTCAATGTGCCATCAATAATTTCTAAAACATCGGAGTCCATTGATTTGTTTGCATTTAGGAAGGTAGATTTTTGAAAAAAAAGCTTTTTAACTTCCGTGAATAGCGCACGTGAAACTCGTTTATTATTTATTTATCAGTTATTTTGCTTGCAGTTGTTGTAAGGAAGTGAATCATGAAAACGCAAGTCTAATTTAATTTTTTAGCCAATAAAAATTTTTTATGTTGTTTTAAATATGCCTAGTTAAACCGCGTGAATTAAGATGTTATATCGCGACGTTAACATGGAGATAGCACAAGATAATTCTAACGTCGCGATATGAGTCTTCTGACCAATTTTTTTGAATAAAAAATATTGTAAGAAGTTTCTCAAGACCCTCGGATATTTAATGTCTCTAATATTTTGAAAAAAAAAGTTTTTCAAAAATATGTCAACCTGGTACTCAAATGAAGCGAAATTATATAAAAATTTCAAAAATAATATTTATTAAAAAAAAATTGTTATTTTTGGTTTTATTACTCAAAAAATACGTTTTTTAACAAAAAATGAATAAAAAATGCATTAAATGTTTTTTAATGATAAGTTTGATAAACAAGTTAATATTAATTCAATATTAATTTTGTTTTTGAAATTTTTATATATCTCGGCTTCATTTTTGTACCAGGTTGAAATATTTTTGAAAAATCTTTTTTTTGAAAATATTAGGGACCCATTAAATATTCGAGGGTGACTTGAGAAACCCCTTACAATATTTTTTATTCAAAAAAACTTTAAACCTACTGTTTTTGTATTAGATAGAATACATTTAGGGGGTGGGAGCAGATTATTTTCAAAAATATTGTTTTTTGGGACCCTAATATATATATATATATATATATATATATATATATATATATATATATATATATATATATATATATATATATATATATATATATATATATATATATATATATATACATATATATATATATATATACATATATATATATATATATATATATACATATATATATATATATATATACATATATATATATATATATATATATATACATATATATATATATATATATATATATATATATATATATATATATATATATATATACACATATATATATATATATATATATACATATATATATATATATATATATATATATATATATATATATATATATATATATATATATATATATATATATATATATATATATATATATATATATATATATATATATATATATATATATATATATATATATATGGGATCGTCTATATATAAGTTTGTTACGAAACTAAAATACGATAAGGAAAGATTAAAGCGTTTTAATTTTAGTCTGAAAGCTTGTTTTACAACAACTTATGAACATCGGTATCTTAAGGAATTTGGACAAGGCCCAAAAACGCATTGTAAAAGGAGTTGGACCTGCTCTATCTACCAAGCTTGAGCCTCTCTCCCACCGTCGTAAAGTTGCATCTCTTTCTCTTTTCTACAAATATTATCATGGTTGATGCTTAAAGGAGCAATTATTAGTATAGTTTCATCACTCAAAACTCATTATTGGTGAATCATCGTTCAGCAAAACCTCATTAATTTACTATATCTCTTCCTGCATGCTCCAAAAACTTTTAACGTCTAGTTTTTCCCCCAGTACTTTAACCCTTTTCCCGCCTTCACGTTTTCTTAACTCATACAACCTACAACTTTTCAAATCTTCTGTAAACATAAAAGAAAGATGTTTTTAATACTCGGAAAGTCTAGAAAACAAATCGTGTTACATCAATATTCGTTTTTTATAAAGTTTTAGTAACATAAAGAAAGTTATATACTAAAAAAATTTATACTTAGTTTTTCATATTTTTTACTAAATTTCAGCAAATAACTGCCCTGCTGGTTGGTTGGCATACAAAAGCTCTTGCTACCTTTTCGAAAACAAAAAGCAAAACTGGATGGAGTCCAATTCAGAATGTAAGAAAAATGGAGGAAATTTGTTGAGTGTGGTTGATCAAAATGAACATTCATTTATTGAATCAAACTTAAACGGCAATAATTATTTTATTGGTAGGTTTCATTTTTATTACATAGTTTTCGTTAACATTTTTTATTAAACACTTAATTTTGTATGTTATTACAATAAAACTTATAATGATTGGTCGAAAACGTTTAATTAATAAAAATTAAATGGAGTATCAACATTAATATGACAATTAATAAAAACTATAAAAAATACTCATTCAATAAATTCACAGTGCAAATTGATCAAATTTCAAAAACATTCTGCATATTCTGCATGAAACCAATTACATTTTCGCTAAATTTACTAAATTATTGAACTTAATCTAATTTTTTTGAACTGTTTTAGTATGTTCATTCATTAAAACAATAAAAATATATCCATGTAATCATTTTTAAATTCTAAATTATCATGATAACCCTGGTACTGGCAACACCTAATCCAGTACAATCTGCCCCATATCCTGCTGCGTTGCAGGATTCGTTTTTCTAGACAAAGAAAATAAAATGGAGCTCTTTGTTAAGAATAGAATTGTGTTTCAATACAATTAATCATTTGGAGCAGATTGTAACGGCATTCAACAACTGCCTTGTAAAAAGCTGAGTTTGATAAATTGTTTTTTGAAAGCTATGCAGATGTAGATCTTTTTGTTCTTCAGTTGATTTGTTTGCTGTTATTAAAACAATTTTTAATCGTGCATTAGTTGGATACGATTTCAGAGGTTTCTAATTATACTTTTTAAACAGCAGTATTAAAGTTGTCATCAAAGGTCAACATTCTTCATGATTACTATTTCTGTGGTACACAAACAGAACCTACTTGTTTTCTGCTAATAACTATTGGAGTGATTTTGATATTTTAATGTTGATGTATTGCAATAACTATTGCAGTGATTTTGATATTGCAATGTTGATGCAATAATCTTATGGAATTTACTTATTCTTTAATTATTTTTCACAAATGATTTCTCATTTTCTAAATTTAGTTCGTTCTCCTCTAGTCTTTAGATTTTCTTTTTCTACTCAAACTTATTCATTAGTGTTAAAGTTTTTTGAGTCTTTTATAAAACGTTTTGTTTGCTCTTTTATAATAATCTTCGTTTTCTGGTAACTTTCAACATAAAAATTGGTTGCTTGCAGCCTTGTTGAAAGTAAATAAATAAAAAGTAAAGAATTTATACAAAAATAAATTGCTTATAAAAAACATATTTTTAAAGTTATAATTTTTAATATACAGGTCTCAATGCTATTAATAATAACCGAAACTTTGTGTGGTCTGATGGAACGCCATTGGTTTTCCAAAAATGGGCACCTGGTGAACCTAGTAATACAAATGGAATAGAAGAATGTGGTGAACTTAATCACCTTGGTTGGAATGATTATCCATGTGATCGTCTGTATGGGCATATCTGTAAAATCAATAAAGGTAATAATATTTATAATTAAAATCAATAAAGGTAATAATATTTTGTTTGTAACTTGTTAGAAAAGGTTGACATAAAATTTGAAATAATTTTATTTTAACATTAATTGCATACTCCGTTAATACGCTATGCAAAAAATTGTTATTTAGAATTCAATTGAATTCAAGTTTCTCTTGATTAAACGCAAAAACTTGACTAAGACAAAATTAAAAGAAAACACCTTAATCTACTCATAAGGTTTATATCAGGGCCAACGACACGGATTTTGAAGTGAGGGGAACAGTTATCAATTCTAATATAAAGTCTTCTATATTCTAAAAATTTATTTAAAAAAAGGCGGAAAGCTATGGCTCCTCAGGCTCTCCGGTGTCGTTGGCTCGTTATTTCAATAAAGTAAATATATTCAAAAAATATATATATATTAAAAAAAAAAAAATAAACTTTTTTCTTTTCCACTTGAGCATTGGGATCTCGAACAATTGGATTTTTTATCAGTGATACTTTTGGACATTGTTTAAATAACGGATGATTTTCCAATGCTTGTTATGTTCATGCTAAAGTCAAAATATAATGTTTTACAAAAACAATTGCGGTGATTAAAGCACGGGATCAAAAATACCCCAAAAATTGACCCACTTAAAAAATATGAAGGCAATGAGTCCAAAAAAGATTTTTGCTGCTATCTTATACTAAATTTAAATTCATTGAGAAGTTTCAACTTTAATCGTATAATTTTTTATTAACTGAAAGTTATGATCATATAATGTTTACAGCCCCCTCACATTGGGATAGAGAAAACTTTATTATATTTACTATAGTTACTGCAATTTTATCTTTCAAACTTTAACAGATTATTTAATGAGAATTAAAGTCTGTTGTTTTAATTCTCAAAAAATAATAAAAAATAATAATTAAAAAAAAACAACAAATAAATAAACTTTTGGGATATTCTTGTTTCTAAACTCCAATGATTTGAACCGAATCAATGAAATTTTTCAAATACTTTATTTAATATTTTTTTATATACTTAATAAACTTATGTAGTAGGCTAACAAGTATAAAGTTATACATTATACAGATTAAACAGTTAAGAATTTTATTCTACTACATCTATAATTCTAGGTTTTCGTCAACGTTGTCAACATTTAAATGTAATTCATCTAAGTCATTAATGCCATCTGATTCCATTTCAGATGATATTTCTTTATCATTGTTATAAACTGCTAAGAAATTTTTAACTTTATCTGGTAGGCACAATATTTTCTTACTTTTAAATCTTTTATTTAATAAGATTAAACTAATTAGGGGATCAGAAGTATGTATACCTCGAATGAAAATGTCAAATAAGTTTGTTTCTCTTTTTTTTTCTTGCATGATGTTCACGATGAAATTTATATAAATAAAAATATAAATTTATATAAATAAAAATATAAATTTATATAAATAAAAATATAAATTTATATAAATAAAAATATAAATTTATATAAATAAAAATATAAATTTATATAAATAAAAATATAAATTTATATAAATAAAAATATAAATTTATATAAATAAAAATATAAATTTATATAAATAAAAATATAAATTTATATAAATAAAAATATAAATTTATATAAATAAAAATATAAATTTATATAAATAAAAATATAAATTTATATAAATAAAAATATCAATTTATATAAATAAAAATATCAATTTATATAAATAAAAATATCAATTTATATAAATAAAAATATCAATTTATATAAATAAAAATATCAATTTATATAAATAAAAATATCAATTTATATAAATAAAAATATCAATTTATATAAATAAAAATATCAATTTATATAAATAAAAATATCAATTTATATAAATAAAAATATCAATTTATATAAATAAAAATATCAATTTATATAAATAAAAATATCAATTTATATAAATAAAAATATCAATTTATATAAATAAAAATATCAATTTATATAAATAAAAATATCAATTTATATAAATAAAAATATCAATTTATATAAATAAAAATATCAATTTATATAAATAAAAATATCAATTTATATAAATAAAAATATCAATTTATATAAATAAAAATATCAATTTATATAAATAAAAATATCAATTTATATAAATAAAAATATCAATTTATATAAATAAAAATATCAATTTATATAAATAAAAATATCAATTTATATAAATAAAAATATCAATTTATATAAATAAAAATATCAATTTATATAAATAAAAATATCAATTTATATAAATAAAAATATCAATTTATATAAATAAAAATATCAATTTATATAAATAAAAATATCAATTTATATAAATAAAAATATCAATTTATATAAATAAAAATATCAATTTATATAAATAAAAATATCAATTTATATAAATAAAAATATCAATTTATATAAATAAAAATATCAATTTATATAAATAAAAATATCAATTTATATAAATAAAAATATCAATTTATATAAATAAAAATATCAATTTATATAAATAAAAATATCAATTTATATAAATAAAAATATCAATTTATATAAATAAAAATATCAATTTATATAAATAAAAATATAAATTTACATAAATAAAAATATAAATTTATATAAATAAAAATATAAATTTATATAAATAAAAATATCAATTTATATAAATAAAAATATCAATTTATATAAATAAAAATATCAATTTATATAAATAAAAATATAAATTTATATAAATAAAAATATAAATTTTTATAATTAAAAATATCAATTTATATAAATAAAAATATAAATTTATATAAATAAAAATATAAATTTATAAATTCTGTGCCAAGATTTAAATATTTACTCTTCCATTAAATGTGGAACTAAAAAATTAATAAAAATTTTCCGAGCTTGTGCTAATACTTTGTGAACGGAAGCTGGAGCCTTAAACCAATCATATGCCTCTAACAGTTTCACGTTTATTAAATGCTGTTTTTTGTGCAACAATATTTTTTGGACGGATTCCGTTTTTGAATCAAATGATATATTTGCTATTAATCGTCTTTTGGTTGGTGAACTCGATTCATCAAGCCCTTTTGTTGGACGACCTCTTTTGCTGAGATATTCATTAAACACTCTTGATTACCTGGCGGTTCAATTGTTTAAAAAATCAAATTGTTTTAAAAACTTAATTAAGCCAAACTTCATTCATACTATCAAAAATTTCTTTCTTTTTTATATATATAAAGAGCTTATTTTCAAATCGCGTTATAAGCACTTTCGATTTTATGTGCCTTTTTATACATTATTTAAATAAAAAAATAGTTAATGCATAAAGCACTTTGTAAATATTTTTTAGTCTCTTTATAATTAATTAGTTTTTTTTTTTTTTTTTTTTACATAATTATTTATTAATCACGGTTAGCACGGATCCTTATAATGCCTACCTAGCTGTCCCAAGAACGCCACTTATACGGAAAGTTAGCGTACACATCAAATGTGTGATGCAAATTTTGAAATCATTTAATTTTTGTCCGCGGAAAATAATTTAATTTGAATGATCAAATTAAGTCAAATTTTGACTTCATAGTGCGCCATTAAAAACACTTGTAGAATTTGAACCACTCAATGTAATTTGATAAAAATTGGTGCAAATGTAGCCAATAGTCACGCCAAACCCTGGACACAGTTTCAGCCTGGTTGAATGACTGGTGTAGGATTTATTGCAGTTTTAGTTGAAGTTTTGTCAAAATATTTTGTATTGACCTCCTTAAATACAATTACTTTTAAAATGAAGTGAAAACTATTTAAACTCTATTTTTTACATTGTATTACCATCAAATATCTAATTACATTTAAAGAAATATTTTTTTTGATTTTCTCCACCAAAAGATTATTAATAAATAGCTCAATGTACTATTTCAATACAAATACTCTATAATACTACTTTTAAAGATGGTGAAAATATTCATTATACGCCGTAAAATATGAACTTCAGCAGCCTAATTTCTAATAACTCAAATGATGTTCTTTAAAGATGCATACTGTTTAGATCAATTATGTATACTACAATCTTTTTTTGTACTCTGGATGATTATTATTTTGCTTATACCTCAATCAATTTTGATAAAAATCTTGAAGAGAAGTTTCGACAGTTAGTTCACTATAGGGCCCCAAGGGGGATCCTTTGTGACTGCTGAAATCCTTGATGTGGTAGAAGACGGCGTGAATTTTGGGTGTTACGCTTGCACCAGTTATCATTAGGTAACACTTTTTGAAATTTTTAATTTTTTCAGCGAAATCCGGCTGAAGTATGTATTTAAAGCAAGCCTTGACAACTAAATTGAAGCTTTTGAATGTTTCAATTATGCACACAATATTGGGAACTTTGTTTGTCTTAGCAATTGCTGCAGCATATTCACTTTTTTAAGAAACTTCCTGCATTCATTTACCTCAAACTAGCCCCCATGATACGGGCTCAGTTGAATTTTGAGGGCGGCTGGCCATTTAACAGCTTCTATCCAAGCAGTTTTAAGGATCTTGAAAAGATGGTTGACAACTCCTAAGAGGAGATGCAAATCCATCGGTGGAATGATTTCCAAAATCAGAACATTGACAGGCCCGCAGATAATTGGCTTTCGAATGACATCGCCAAATTGCTTTGCATTAAACCCCGCCAGATTGCTGAAAAGACTCAAGGCTTGAATTAATTGAGCCCAGTGTTCGCAAGTTTCTAGATTTGGCAAGGGTTTGACGTCACACCAGGTGCAAGGGTGCTTACTTGAATGAGTTTGAAGACCACAAATTATATTTGCAACTTTCATATCACAAGCCAAATTTAGTTTAACTCCATTTGCATTAATGTGACCAGATTTGTTCAATATTGGAGTGTGTTTCTGGCAAATATTCTGAAACCCCAACAATAATTTGTCTCTTGACTCCAGTGTCTTTACCAGTCCTTTGAGTGAGAGGTTGTTGTTGGTGCGGTGAGCTGGTTTCATCCTTTAACGCAGTATCAACAATGCTAAGGCAAAACTTGAGAAAACCTTTGCCACCATCAATTCCGAGCTTAATAAAATAGACACCAGAAATTTTGCGGGACTGAATAACATGATTGACAAGACTTAATAAATCATTGCAGTGAGCAACAACATAAACTGTTCAAGAATCTGTTTTTTTGTCTGTGATTTTTAAGTCGCTGCAGGTGAAGAAATTGCTCAATTGGTGAACTAGTCTTAGAAAATTCATGAAGAAATTTCGCTCTACCATCTTGCTATCTGATGTTTTGTTTATAGTTCTAACAAGTTTCTTTAATCTGTTGTTTGACAGGCCCGTATTTAATTGCACATTTACAAGGGCTACAGTGGTCAATTTCGGAGCACTTGATGGTGTCTGCGCACTACTTTGACCTAATCCAAAACATACATATTTTATAGTTAAAATAAACTTTGTTTAGTAAGTTTGTGTAAAACTTTCAAATTATTCGTTTTTAAAGAAATTAGAAACTTGTTAAAAATATACTTCTTGAATTCTATCTAGTGTTATTTCTTAATAGTCAAGACTTTATTTCAATATATATGTTAAAATTATTTAAGAATAAATATTTACCAGGGGTAAATATTTATTCTTAAATAATTTTTTGGAGGCCCGCCGGATGCTTTAGCCAGTAGAATAGTTCCTTCCGGAGATTATTGTTTATTAAAAATAACTTGAGATGCGATTTGTTTGGATGATTTGGCATCTTTTGCTGCTAAAAATTGAATGTTTTCCCTTAACATTATTTGAGAGCATTGGTGGGGCAAACCTTTTCCTAAAGGGCCGAGGCATTTGCTGCAACGTACCTTTGGTATTTTGTCAATAGTGGTTTGCTCTATAAGAGGACGTTTTTCTTGCAGCTTTGAACAACCAATTCGGCATATTAGGCAACAACACATCGTGCCTCTTGTTTCATGTCTCACTTGTATTGACTTAAAATCAAACAAAGAAGGGAGTGCAACTTCTTTCCCCTCTTGTTTCCTGCGTAAAGTAATTCTACACGATTCGCAGAATCCTTTTGGTATCCGAGTATCATTGATATTGATCTTGGTCTTGTACAGTTGGCATATTTGATCTGCTTGAAAAGTAGTAAGTTGTATTAAACATTTTTTCAGACAGAGCAAGCACACAAACTTTCGATTTTTATCATGATTCTTTGCTTGATTGGGCATCGTGGCAAATCACTATATTTGACTTCACTAAATCTAACTCTGCCTATTACAAAATTTGACCTAAATTTATATTTGATAACAATCCACTTAACATAGTAACGCATATTATTAATTAAAAACTATTACAATAAAGGAAATATTTACTTGATTTAATTGAGGTAATATTAAATTAAAAGGAACTAATTCTTGAATAGTTCTTTCCTTACCAGGAAAGAATTGTTTAAACTATTTACTTGTAAGGAAATTACATTATTGATAATTGTCACACTTATTAAACTAATGATACTTGTCACACAGGTTGTTTTATTTCAAAACAAAATTTCAACCTAGATATTATGTTATTCAGTTAAGTAATTTTCCTCAGACTGGCCCTCTAAACTTTGTATTGGTCAGATATCTTAGTTACTTTATTTAAATTTTTCAAGTCAATTATCTTTGTCAATATAAAAAATATTTGGTTTTTTCACAGTTGTTCTGTTTTCAGATAAATAAATATTTTTATTTTCTATGTAGGTATCCTTAGAAATCTTTATTAATCATTTTTTTAGAACTTTTTTGCATTTTGGCAGCAGTTTATACCTTAAGAAATGTTGGTATATTCACGCTATGCATACATGGCCGTCAACGCCGGGGAGGCTAGGGGATCATGTCCTTCTCTACTTTTTTTTTTGCGAGGACCTTTTGTTTTAGAAATATAGGCAATTATTTTAGAAATTATGGATTTTATTTTAGAAATTGAGGGGTTGACCCCCTCCACTTTGAAAGCCGTGTCAACGCCATTGGCATAAGCCAATTCAAATCACGTAGAAAATCACTATTTTGGTCTATAAAATGAAAACTGTACATGTACCGACAAAATAATTATAACAAAAATTGTTGGTATTACATAGTAGAACACTCATGTAACTGTTATTTTAAAAATAGTGACCGAATTTCAAAGTAATCGGTAACGCTTTGAGGTATAAGTATCAAAAAACTGACAAAACTTCAATTAAAACTGCAATAAATCCTACACCAATCATCCAATCAAACTGAAACTGTGTCCAGAGTTTGGTGTGACTATTGGCTACATTTACACCATTTTTTATCAAATTATATTGAGTGGTTCAAATTCTACAAGTGTTTTTATTGGCGCACTATGAAGTCAAAATTTGACTTAATTTATTCATTCAAATTAAATTAGTTTCCGTGGACATAATTAAATGATTTCAAAATTTGAATCATAGGGTACCTTCCCAGCGGGCACCGGACCAAAAAAAACGTCTTTTAAACGTTGAAAAGACGTCCAAAACGTTCAAAAGACGTTTAAAAAACGTCCAAAACGTGTATAAGACGTTTGAAAGACGTCTTTTTTACGTCCGTACCCACTGGGTCGATGTGTACGCTAAATTTCCGTATAAGTGGCATTCTTGGGACAGCTAGGTAGGCATTATAAGGATCCGTGCTAGCCGTGTAATATTAGTTATGAGTTATATTTCAAGTTAGGAATATTTTTAAATTTAAGTGACGCAAAAAAAAAAAAAAGATGCTCATACCACGTTTTGAAAATAAGCTCTTCATATGATGCATCCCATAGTGCAACATACTTTGCATCCCATAGTGCAACATACTTTGCAAGAGTTAGTTTTAATCTCTATCTTAATATATTTGTTTTGTCTTCTCTGACTTGAATACTAGTAATAATGTATTTAAACCTATTATTTACATTTTCAAAAGTATTTTTCAAAACCTGAAAACATTGTAGAACTTGTATTAAATTGATTTCCTCCATTATCTTAGTTCAAAACAATAAGCTTACAATGTAAATAAAAACCTTTTAACAACATTTAGAAATTCATGTAGTTTTTGGTCGATTAGTGGGATTACGTACTTTAAAACCATAAACTCATAAAATTAAAATAAAAAACAACTTTTTTCCTTTCAAAAACAACACAAAAACAAATTTACTTTGGTCTTTCATACCTTAAAGTAGGCTTTTTTTTAATTTTTTGTAATGAATGAAAAAAGTATTTGTTTAAAAAAACATCAATTTTTCAAAATTATTTAGCCTATATTTTATTTATTGAATGCTTAAAATATCCAACAATGTACCTACAGGGAGCGGTTAGTCAAAAAATGGGTTTATTGTCGAAATAATCAACTACAGTGTATGGGCAAGTTAAGGAATGTTTAAAATCTTCTTTACTTCCATAGCAGTGACAATAAAATACATTAAAAGTAAAAAAATATATATTTCTAGCGTTATCTCTTACTATTACATCGTGTTTCTCAACTTGTATCGAACAAATACCGTGTATCGAACACTTAAAGGATTTATAAATAAATTTTGCAAGTTTGGGTGCATTGTAGGGCTCGTATGGAAAAAAAATACCACGTTGATACAACTGTGAATTTGTTTCATATCTTTTATGTGTGAGCTGTTAGGCTAATGAGATTAACATTAGCTCATAGAGTCAATAGGTCTTCTTGATAACAAGCAATGATAACAAAACTGTTAGTATAGTAGAGGACCGTGGTTTCAAAAGATTACTTCAGTTTTTTAAGTATAGTATAGTAGAGAACCCTTCTCAATTAAATTGAGAAAATATTAATATATAAATTGACTTTTAATAATATAAAATATTTTTAAATTCAATTTTTTTACAAATAACGGTGGCAGTTTTTAAATATTTTAAAGTAAATCGAACTTTAAATATGCTATACTCTAGCACAACTTTACATCTCTGTAACATGCATAATTTATGCATAGCGAAATTTGGTCCGCTAGGTTTTTTAAGCATTTCAAAAAATTAACTTATTGCATTTACGTTTGGTTCAAAAAAGATGCTTAATAATGTCTTTTTGAATCAAGCATATTCCTTTATTAGTATCATTTTTTTATTTTAATATTGAGTTAACATAATTTTTTTTTCAGATTTAAGCTTGGATTTAAAGTGGATTTTGTTAAAGAAAGGAGCATGTTTTGAAGGAAAGAACGATCGCCCAGCAAACGTTCCCATAAATCTAAATGGTGTATTAGTAGGAGTAAAGCTTGTGCATCAAAGTGGTCGTGTAAAATGTTCTCCATTTTGGGAAGGAAGTAACTTTGGTTGTTCAAACGAACAAAGTTTGTTTAGCATTTCAATTTGTGATAATAAAAAAATGGTTTTGTTTCCATCTCCAAACCAAGCACTTAACTACGATGCTTCCAGAAATTATCAGTACCCTGTTTACCTACCAACCGACAAAGACGTTATTTTTACGAACTATGAATATCCACCCTACTTAAGAAACGGAGATTCAATCACAATTTGGAACAATGAAGACCTTTTTAATATTGGCGATGTTGATAATGTTGGACAAACTTGTGTTGACGTATACGGTACATTCGGTGCATTTAAGAATATTTAGTGCTTTTGCGGATGTTTACGATATTCAGGGGGATGTTTAGTGGTTAATTGTATTTTTAGTATACTTCATTGCGGATGTTTACGATATTCAGGGGGATGTTTAGTGGTTAATTGTATTTTTAGTATACTTCATTTTATTTTCATCTTTGTTTTTAAATGGAACATTCTGGAGCTTTCTTTTTAATGAATTTAAATTTTCTTTTTTATATTTATTATTTTGCAGTTTAAAATTAATAATGAAAATATGTGAGCAGAGCGTAGTAACGCAAAATGGGTAATTTCCTGGTTAAAACATTTGAACTCCCAGATTAATTGTTTTTTAAACAAACTAAACCGGGAGTTTCAAATTATTTCAAATTATGACAAACACCCGTGAAATGTAGTACGTTTAGATTAAAGATTTAATTACTTCAAAAATTTTGATTGCATGATATTAGCGTCTATTAAACAGACTTATCTACGAAGAAAACATATTGTTTGGTGTACATCCTGACAATAAATTAAAATTATTAGGGAAAATAATAAATGTGTCCCCCTTACCAAAATACTTTTCAATATTTAATGATTTGTAGTATTAAAAGTAACGAATATGTATTATATAATACGCAAAATATTAGGTACAAGACATAATATAATATAACTAGAATAAGTTAAAATATGAAAATTCATAAAAATTTTTTTTTACAAAATTTGAGGTTTTCTAAATTATGTCATCTAAACTCTATTGCTTGAGTATTCTGATTCTGCTCTTCTCAGAAGTTCTCCATAATTCGATTTAGATTTAGAAGTTGAGAATCTACTCAGAGTTTTTAACATGTTGTGATGCACAGATTTAGAATACTGTTCAGCAAACACTCCTAAAGGCGAGTTTCCACTCATCCGTTTTTTCACGGGAACGGGAAAGGGATGGGAAAAATAATCACGTGGGCATGCGTAGTATAAGTTTTAATATGTCTAAAAGAAAACTACGCATGCTCACGTGATTATTTTTCCCTTCCCTATCCCGTTCCCGTGAAAAAACGGATGAGTGGGAAACGCACCTTTATGGCATATTAATTTTATTTAACAAAACAACAAGGTGGTGTTCAATAATGTGACCTTTCCACCCCATTGAAAGATTTTGGTCGAAGTTAATTTTTAGATAAATCTTAGTTTTCTAAATCATATTAAAAACAATATATAGTCTATTACATAAAATGAATATAAATAAAAATTAGTTCCATATTTAATTCAATTTAATATTCAATAATTTTTTCCCTAACAATTCTTAAATTCAAAATTACCTTCAACTTCTTAACATATTTTACTATGGCATCTTTATAACCTTTCATCCAGTTTCATCTTTATAATCCAGTTTCATCCCAAAGCACATATCAACTACTAAAGATTAAAGTTTACATTATGCAATAATTTTATAATAGAAATAAAATATCTAAATACAAATAATAAATATAAATATTAAAGATAATTATTAAAAATAAATATTAAATATATATATTAAATATAAATATTAAATATAAATATTAAATATAAATATTAAATATAAATATTAAAAATAAATATTAAATATAAATTTTAAATATAAATATTAAATATAAATATTAAACAAAATAATAAATATAAATATTAAATGTAACTATTAAATATAAATATGAAATATAAAATTAAATATAAATTTTAAATATGAATATTACATATAAATATTAAATATAAATATTAAACAAAATAATAAATATAAATATTAAATGTAACTATTAAATATAAATATGAAATATAAAATTAAATATAAATTTTAAATATGAATATTAAATATAAATATTAAATATAAATATTAAACATAAATGTTAAACATAAATTTTAAATATAAATGTTAAATAAAAGTATTAAATATAAATATTAAGTTTAAATATTAAATAGAAATATTAAATATAAATGTTAAATATAAATATTTAATAGAAATATAAGATATAAATGTTTAATTTACCTGTAAAAAAACAATTTTAACTGTTCAACAACTGGATGATATAAAGGAAAATGGTCAAGAATATGTTTTTCTAAATCAGGCAGAAGCTTAAATCTTTCTACCATCCAAACCACCTCCACTATATGCATTAATAATTATCCCATGAATACTTAGCCAGACAGCTCTTTACATAAGACATTTGAAATCACTTTCACAATCTTCTTCATCAAACAAAGATCTGGTGGAGGAACTACATTATGTACAAGCTTATCTCCAGCTGCATCAAGTAAACATAGATGTGTAACATTTTTGTTGATTTGCATAAAACATATCTTAGATCCATTTTCAGCAAAGCTTTCATACAGCAACTTTAACTTATTAAAAGTTCTTAGTTCTTCCAGATTTGTTTTTTTAACATAACAATACAAACAAGAGTATATTCCTCCATGTCCTTAAAAGCCTGAATTAATTTTTAGCGGTTTAAAATTTGCAGCAGTTTAAATTAAAATTAAAATTCTTGAGAATTATTTTCTCTATAAAAATTTGAAGGTTTGCATGATTTTCAGTGACACTTGAAGGTTTGCATGATTTTCAGTAACATTTGAAGGTTTGCATGATTTTTAGTAACATTTTGGCAAAAGCCAATACCAGTACTTTATTAACACCAGTATTCTTGGATTTTTGACAGTCAATATATTTTTCAATATTGAAAACATTCATTATAACTTTTAAGGATCCTAGACAACCATCTATCCCCACATAAATACAATTTTATCCACGTCTAATCCTCTAACAGTGGAAATATGATAAACAAGTAATTTTACATCTTATACACTCGATCTTTAATAATAGTATGCAGAGTTTTATTTTCCAACTTTTTTCTTTGTTGTAAACTTGACATTTTCTACTACATAAAAATCATCAAAAGTACGTGACCATAACTTTTCTTTGAAGTACTAGCTTTCACTCCCAATCTACCTAAATATTTATGAATTTAATTGCTATAGATCTTGCATTCTTTTTACATTATAGAAAGTTTGGTTTGAAATTATTTCATGATGTGCGTTTTTCCAATCTGTAGACTCAATGGAGTCCCACCTGTGGACAATTTCATAGTTTTGTCCGAATTATTAATATTTTTATTATTATATATTTTTTTTAATTAAAAATATTTTTAACTTGCTGAATTTCTTTCAGAGATTGTGAGAGAACTTGTTCAACAGTTTTTAAACCTAATATTTATATATTTAACATTTATTTAAATATATATAAAATAAAGTTTTAAGTTTTGTTTTTTAAGAAAGTCAAATCTTATATAAACAAAAATTTATTTTATTTTATATTAATTAACATGGTTCTTAAGTTTTCCACGAGGAGTTAGCAATCGACATTCCTGTCGAATGCGAATTCCAACTCTTTAACAACAATTGAAACATACTTTTTTAATAACCACGTTTGCTATTTCAGGTTCATTTAAGTAGTAATTTAATTTTAAGTATTCATGTAGACACAGATTGCACTTACATGTACACACGTACACACACACACACACACACACACACACACACACACACACACACACACTCACACACACACACGCACACACACACACACACACACACGCACACACACATAAACAAACACACACACAAACACACACATACACACATATATTTACACATTACACATCATTAACTTATAGCTATCAGGGGTGGATCCAGGATATTTTGGTGCTTGAGTTAAATAACTTTCAGGTAAGTTCTAAACTCCAAACTTTTTTATGTTCATAAGTATTATGTCATTTAAAAATGCTTTGCCGTAAAATGCGTTGACTAGAGTCTGGGAACAAAAATACCCTAAATAGTAGACGTCACCCGCCCAAATGAGAGGGGAAATACTTTTCAAACTTTTTTGAAAAAAAAAGTTATTTCCTTTAATAAAATTCTAATTTGTATCTATATTTAAAGTTTAATCAAATATTATCTAGCGTTCAAAAGTTATAGCCATTTAAAGTATAGAGCCTCCTCAAAACGAGGGGGTTATATTAAATTTAAATAATTTAAACTGGGTATAATTTCTATACAACATAACATTTTTCAAAAAAAATTTGGATCCTTAACGATATTAACACCTACTTTAGGATATTAGAATTTATATTTAGAAAAACCGATTCCCCCACATTTGGGCAAGTGATGCCTACTTTTTAAGGTTTTGTTGTTCCCAGGCTCTAATCAGCGCAATTTTTGGCAAATCATCCTTAAATGACTAAAGTATGAAAATACAAAAATTTGGAGTTTAGAACTTTCCTGGAAGTTGTATAACTCAAATACCTAAAAATCCTGGATCCACCCCTGCCTATATACTTTAATATATTTTACACTTTTCCAATTTTTAAACATAAACTCAAAAATTTAATTTTATTTTCCGATGACATAATAAGGTTCTTCTAATTGTCATTATGTACCTTTATTTAGAACTTTTTAATTGTAAAATACGTTTTATGTTAATTGTAAAATACGTTTTATGTAACGACTCTTTTTGTTTTACTTTTCTTTTTGTTTTACTTTTTATATGTAACGACTCTTTTTGTTTTACTTTTTATCTTTTTGTTTTACTATTTACTTTTACTGTTTATTTTATAAATAGATTATATACATTGTAAATAATTATGCTAAATGCTTGTAAAAGGTTCTGATGATATGATCAGTACGATCTTCTTTCAGAAACCTTGTTTGTATTTGTTAAAGTATTGTATTACGACAAATGTTAACTTAAAATGTAAAAAAAAAAAAAAAAAAAAAAAAAAAAAAAAAAAAAATATACAACTGAATTTTTGTTTATTTATATTTATTTAAACTTAATTAAAAACTTTGATTTCATTCACACTGAAAAATTGTTATAAAAAAATCATTTAACAAAGTTACTTCTTGTTTAAAAAAGTTTAGAAAATAATAATACAAAATATAGTTGGTCACAAATTTAGAGGGGAGTGGAACACATTTGCTCTTTTTCCCTAAAAATTTGATTTTCTCATTAGGATGTAAAGCAAACATTTTGTTCGGTGGAAGATTGAATTATCTATACACCCCGTATGAACCGGAGTGTATAGATTATTTATACCCCGTATAACATGTATCTAATTTTCAGGTTTGTGGTTACTTAATAAAAATTTATTTTCGTGACGATATGTTGCGACGAA